TTATTTATTGGTGCCGGGGATCGAACTCGGGACTATTTTTTTAAATTCTTAAGTTCTTTTATTGATACATTTTAGGTATACAACATGTTTACATTTATCATTGGGTGCTTGTACCTGTACATGATGAATCTTGGTTCTTATTTTTTCCCCATGTAAATAGGGAAGGCTGGAGGGGGTGAAGGGTGCACAGGTAATGTTTATTTTTATTCTAACCTAGAGTTTATACTGAGTTAGCTTCTTGCAAATGCTCTTTCAACCCATGTTTGGCTTGTGACACTGAACAAGGCCACAGTGAAGGCTCAGCAAGGCTATAGGTTGTTACCCTGCCTTCTGACAATATTAATTTGTGTCTGGAGTACTGGCTCAAATGTAGTGCTTTTCCTTGTTTCTTAAATGTTCCCATTTTTAAAAAAGTTCCCTCTTAGTTTCCTCTTAACCAGCTGAGTGACAGAAACTCAATGCTGACCACTTCATTAGCCAATGACCCTGTCCCTCTGGCTTCTCTGCCTGCTTGTTCTCCTGGGCAGGTTGCCTTATGTCGTAAGTCCTTGTTAAAGGTCAGGACCTTTGAGCCATCAGCACTGGCCATGTTGTTTTAATATATATCTAGGGGAATCGGGCCTGTCGGATCATATTAGGCCCTATTTATGGACTGTACGCCAATACAGTGGAGACGAACTGTTACTCTTGAAATACAATCATGACTAGTTCCCAGTGAGTACAGAGGAGGGATTATACTCCATCAGTGAAGTCTTTGTAATCTGTCTCTCCCCTCACTGGCAGGGCCACCCTTCCTACTGTACAGAGAAAAATCCTTGTAACTAAGGATAAGGAGCAAGGCTGAAAGATACAGTAGGTTTCCAAAACCAGATGTGTGAATTGTACATGAGGGGAGTGGTGGTGTGTGATGAATAAATGCCCTGGGAGCTCATGGGGAATTGGCACATTTCTCCTGCTAGTTCTTGGTATGGTGATAAAATGATAAAGTTAATAGCGACTGTTTGTTGAGTGAGTACTCCATGACTAGCACCAGACTAACATTGTGTATGCATTAGTCAGTTTTATATTCATAATAACCTGTAGGGCAGGTACTATTGTTATTCTCATTTGATGTGTGTGTGGGGCGGGGGGGAACTGAGGTTGGGAAAAGCTCCAGCAACTGTCCCAAATTCACAAAGGAATTAAGTATGGAATTGGTACGGACTCCAAATTTGCTTGGAACCATTAGTTTGCCATGATTGTGCCATGATACTATTTGGAATGAGGTTTTGGGTGATGTTTAAAGAGAACCGCAGTGTAATTCCTCTCCTAGGGAGGGGTCCCAAATAGCTCACTTGACCCAACAGAAGATTTGTTTAAAAACTGAGTCTGGGAACAAGCCAGCCATTTTTTTTCTTTCTTCTCCAGGATTGATTTTAAGTTCATTCCCACATCCCGTGGGAGTCTGGTCAGACAGATCCCTTGATGGAGATTAGAAATAGCTCACAGAGCCTATTTTTAAGGAAAATGTGATGTCAGAAAATGATGCAGAAATGGACACCAAGAAGAGAAGAGAACATACATCAGGAAATGCTCAGAGATGAGGAGTGGGAACAGAGACAACACTGGCAAAGACAGACAAGGCTGGGTCGAGGTGCTTTTTTTTAAAGCCTGGATGGCATCTTTCTGTCACATCCACTGTGTTTTTCCTACAGAAAGCTCAGCCAGAGGCTTAGGTCCTACAGCAAACCCACTTATCTCACTAGAGAAATACGGCCTGACAGACACAGAAACAGCCCGCTTGCTCTTTCTGGGCACCTCGGGCATAATGTGGAGGTGTCTAGTAACACTGCAATTTTCTTTGAACTGTTTGGCTTTGTTGGTGTCCTCATCTGGCATGTTAGTCTTTTTGACTGTGTTAACTCATCTGGTATAACATTTTCTTTCACTGAGAAACAAGAGAGCCGGAACTTACCTCTCTGATTCCAGCAAAACTGGACACCATCCAATAGGACAAGGCTAGACTTCTGGAGGCTGTCAGTTGTATCTTCCAAGCTAAGGAAGAGAAGAAAGGACAGAAACGTGGTTAGGGAGATGTTTGGTGAATGTTTGTAGGCTGAGTGGTTAATGGCGAGATGATCCTCCCATTCCCTTTTTACTCGTTTTCCTTGGATAAGATTTCTATCTAGGGTGAGAATTTATTAAAGTCTTTCCCATGTTGGCCAATATCACCAGCAAATTGACACAGTTACCCATATTCATCTATGTTACTAATGCTGTAGAAAAGCACATTCTTCAACTGGAAAAGGAGTTTTTAAGGATGCAACTCAGGCCAGCCAGCTCTAAGATGGCATCTGGTATTGATTAGAAATTATAGAAATGCTCTAAGATGAACTAAAGAAATATTGGTAGAGGAATCAAGAGAAGAATGAGGAAAACTGAAAGTCAAATCCAGTGTTGATTTAATGAGACTGCAGCCTCCACACTTCCTCCCAGCCATGACATTTCTGCCTGTCCATCCCAGGGAAAGGATTCCAACAGTGTTAACTACTGAACGCTTGCTCGCTCTCCATCCCCTTTCCCTGGGTGGCTGCGGTGAGTTGGCTGCCGAGATGGAGCCCTGAACCTATCCATCAAGTCTAAGGAAGAGAGAGTTAGAAAGGCAAACATTATCTGGAATCAATATCTTTACAAATCCAAAGGAAACCCCAGCTCCCGAAGGGTTAAGCTAGGGAAGGAAAAGCCATCAGGCTGTTTAGTGAGCTAATGTTTTTATTGATGGGGGAGGCCTTTAAGGCCCTAACAGGAAAAGTGGGGAAAGTGGCAGATTGTTTGGCTGGAGAGAAAGAAGGGAAAGAACGTTATACTCCATGCTCTTTCCTACTCCCTACATTTAAAACCCTGAAATCCATCTAATGCAGGAGACGTCCCATAACCCTGAATAATATTCAACCCAAGGTGTTTTTCCTCTCTCCTATCCACCCCCCTCCCCAGTGGAATCCACATCCTCCCCTAACAACTTTGCTATAATGCACATCTCAGGCTAATGTCTGTACTGCAGAGCACATCTTAATTTAACAACTGTGTTATAAAGCACATCTCAAGCTAACATTCCTAGGATAATCCATATTTCAACCTAACTACCCTGGCATAACACTTCAATCTAATTCTCCCACTGTAAAGTACATAGCAATCTAACACCCTCATATAATGTACATCTCAGTCCATTATTTTGTATTTTGTAAGCCATATTTTGATGTCTTTTCCATTAAGTCGCAGAACTGTCTGGAGACAATGGCTATCCCTGTGCTGAAAGCTTCCATAGTTCTTACATCGTCCTTTCGTGACAGGCTGCTGATGGATATGTTCCTGAACTTTCACCTTTGCCATCACGGGTTCCCCTCTGGCTTGTTTCTGTACTTCAAGCCTTCAGCATCCTATTGGGAGCAGGGGTGACCAGAGAGCTCTGCACAGTCCTGATGGGCCTTCTCTTGTGCTAACCAGCAGGGTGGGCTACCTCAAAAGATCAGAGTCTACCTCAGGAGAGGGTCATGGGAGGTCAATGTCAGGGTCAGGGGTCAGGGTGTAGCGGCTGGCTAATAGAGTGTAAGCTAACACTGTTGTCAAATTGCTGGGCTAAAAGACAATGGCTGCCTCCTGCTGATGACCTTACCCTGGGGGAGGGGGCTATTGGCTTTATTGGAAACCTGCCAGTCTCCAGAGGTGATGGAAGTGGCTGATCACAGATAAAGACTGATTGTTGATGGAGAGCCAGTTCTGTGGTTGGTCCTCAACTGCAAGGCCTGCAGAGCTGCTTATTGATGGCTGAGTTTTCCACATATGATGGATTTGTCTTCCGAGTCACACAGCTGGATTACTGTTCAGTTGTAGAGGTGGACTGTGGTGGCTCTGGGACATAGATTATTCTGGAACTGAGAGCCACTAAAGGTGATGCTGTCACTGACTCCTGGGATGGCACCAATTTCCTGTTGCCAGTCCAATGGGGCTCATTGGTTCTTAAAAGAAAACCAGTCCAGAGTGAATTGAAAATAGATGTAAGATGTCCATCAAGTCGAAGGCATTTGTATGAACATGAAAGAAACAGTAAGTGTGTTCTGGAAGAGACTGAGTATCCTGATGATCAATATCTCAGCCTCCAGTTTTTAGTCTATTCTATCCAGAAGGAAGAAATCAGATTGCTCTATCCACTGGTGGCATATAACCAGGCTAGGGGTGCCACTAAATATTTGAAGAAAAGGAGGTTACTGAAGACTTAGAATTTTACAATTTTTCAACATGATATGAATTCAAGAAAGACAAAAACAAGAGGTAGAGCTGGGCAAGGTAGCAGACACCTGTAATCTCAATACTCAGCATTGCTTTGAGGTTGAGGCCAGCCTGGATTGCATAGCAAGACCCTGTCTAAACAAACAAACAAACAAACAAACCAAAACAAAAGGAAAAACAGGAGGTAGAAAACAATGTATAGAGGTAAAAATGATATTTATAAGAGTCATATGAATTATGGAGGATCACTAGCAAACACCATCCTCTAGTGCTGCCTGCTAAGACAGACAATAAATGCCCAGAAATTATAAATGGGAAAACAGTTTATTGAAATTGCAAGGTTACTGCCTCTTGGGTTATGTCTTGGGAATCTCAGGTAGAAATGGTAGCACTAGTATTTAACACCTCTAATTTAGCAGAGATCATAAAGCATCCAGGAGGAGAAAAAGGAGGCTCTGAAGTGAACTTGTTTTTCTCCTAGAGAAGAATAAACTAAGGGTGACATTAATGATCTTCTACCATATTACATGTCAAGACAAGCAATGTGGCTTTGGCCATGTCGATATGGTATGATAGCATATGGTGAGACTTTGGCTTTCCTCCTTTACTCTAGATACCACTTCCCCCCTTTAATCCTTAGTTTTCTTCTTCGTTAAAGGGGATCACGGCATCCACTCAACACTGTTGCAATGGGGATTAATTCAGATGTAGCACTATTTGTTAGCAGAGTATCTGGTTCAAAGTTTACATTCAAAACACATATTGTTTTCCTTTTTCCCTAAAGCATGGCATGGGTTTTCTGATGAGGGGTGCTAATAAATACGAGGCCTTGGATGATATATTTTCTGTGAGCAAACAAAATAACTATCTATTTAGAAAGTTTAGGCACAAATGCCACTTGATCAGGGTGGTGACTCAGACCAGAGTTTAGTAAACTGTGGCCTGCAGGTTAAATCTGTTCACTTCCTAGTTTTGTAAATAAAGTTTTATTGGAACACAGCCACATTCATTCATACCTATTCTCCATATCTACTTTTGTACCACATCAGTACCGTTGTGTTGTTGTAACAGACAGTGTGGCCCACAAAGCCTGAAATATTTATCATCTTTATAGAAAACATTTGTCACCTTGGACCTACGCCAGTCAAACACTTTCTCCCCTTTATTTAAAAGTAAAATCCTATGAGAAAACCCAATATGTAAAGCAGATACAAACAACAAATATTTCCCCAGGGATCTGAACTTTTCCTTGTTTGGCACAAATATTTCATTATTGGTAGAACTTCTGAAGCAACTTCCATAGTTCCATAGAGCAATTTGAGAACTATGGACTGGATCATCTTCAGATACTTCTTTAAGTCCTAGAAACTCAGCTATCTCTTAAGAGATCACATAAATGGCATAGCAAACCTGCCTGCTCCTGGAAAACCGCAAGGTTTTTATTTCTGCTAAGTGTGGGAAGTTGAGTAAGTTTCTTAACCTCCCTAGGCTTCTATCTCCTTATTTGCTGAAATGAGGGTAACTATATTTACTTCACAATTTATTGTAGGGATTAAATGAGATATCTATATCTCTATATACCCTCTCACTCGATATAAGGCCTGGTTCATAGTGCTTGGGAAAGGTTAGGAATATTAATATTTTACTTCCATTAATACAATATCCACACAGATATTAGTACCACAAATTATTATAAATTTTCATTAATTATATTAACATCAATACTATTTCATATTAATTACATCGCTATAACATATTAATATTAATATAGATATCAGTAATCTTGTAATTATTGCTATTAGTATTTTGGGCCTTCATTTGTGCTGTAGAGATCATCTGCGAATTGTTCTAAATATCCCTGGCAACCTTTATGCTTATTAGTCACTTAATTCAGCTGGTCACTCATTCAGCACACGTCACAGGCCAAGGTAATCAGTTATTGAGTGGAAGCCCATTTGCTGGCAGCTGTACAGCTAACCTTCCCTTCCACAGTCCTTTTGGTAGTTTGCATTGGTGTTTATTGCTCTATGTCTTATGCAAAGTTCAGAGCGACACCTCTGCTCAAAACAATTTCCGACTGCTCCATCTCTGACTGCTCCACAATTAAATTTTCAACTAGCAGCTTGGTTTCAGTGCCTACAAAGTAATTAGACCTTAAAGGCTCTTTACCAGTATCTTATCCTGTCAGTGAATGTGAAAGAAACAAAAATTATTATTTAATATTTATTGAATGTCTTCATTGTGATAGGTAGATTTGCAGACATAACCTGCCTTACTGGTGAAGATGACAGCACAGAATAGTCAAATAAGTCTTAGAAAAGTGGTTGGACAGTTTTAGGGGCTCATGGTCTCAAATGCTGCCCTCTGATATGTTGCTGTCAGATGGCACATGTTGGTCAAGTGATTCCTAATTATCTCTAAGTGCATTATCTATATTTGATTACAGAATGGTGGCTTCCAAAGATGACATCTTATGATTTTTTTTTTTTTTTAATACCAGGGATCTAACTCAGGACCTTGTGCTTTTGAGGCAGACATGGTGCCACTGAGCTAAATCCCTGGCCCTCTTATGAATTTTTTTTGTACCAAGCAGAGGGAGCTCTTTGGGAAGTTACATTTTCTACCATTGTCAGTAAAATATCACAATAAACATAGCCACGAGGGGTACTGGTGAAGGCTTGAGGTTTCTTTGAGTTCATCTTTCCATCTCAAAGACTGGTTCAGGTCATCCAGACTAAGATGCCAAGCTGCTAGACAGAGTGACAGCTGGACAATATCATCTTCTGTCTGTGAAGAATGTCTTCCACGTAGTGGGGGCTGCTGTGGCCCAGTAGTCAAGCGCTTATGTGAGCTTGAAAATAAAAACTGCCCTGGGTTCACACCCTACCTTTGAGCCTTACCAGCAAGTCACTATATGATACTGAGCCTCAATTTCCTCATCAGTAAGGGAAAATAAAGTAACTACCTCACACACTGTTTTGCATATCAGATAAACTAAATGCATGGTAAATGGTAGTTGCTGTTATTTTCACTGTATTATTATTCCAGAAAAGAAGTAGAACACACAGTTCCTGTTTTGGGAAGGCTTAGGGAACAGCATAATATAAAAATATATGAAGCAAACTTGAAAAAATATCTATCCATCTACATCCAGATAATGGCAGTGAAAATATTAATTAAAAGCTAAGGTATCAAAGTGAGCCATGGGGGGACTTGCTTTCGTGATTTGATGTAAATGGATTGTAAACTTCTAGATGACACAGGCTGTGCTTGCTCACCTTTGTTATCGCCAGAATTTTCTAACAAAGAACCTTGCACATTTCAACACTCACTATGTGTCTGCTGAACTGAACTGGATGCCTTTATCAATTCACTAGAATTCTACAAAAAATAATCTGTGGCACAACTAAAGTGTGCACAGATGTGAGACGTGAGTGCTGCCCAAACCAGTGAAGTAATGCAATCAATATTACAAAAACAAGCACAGCAGAATTGCTTACATAGAATAGACAAAGACAATGGAATACTATTTGGCACAAAAAAGAAATGAAAGAATGCTATAATGCAGATAACCTTAAAGACATTAGGCTAAGTGAAGGAAGCCAGTCACAAAGAACACAGGTTGAATATTCAATTTCTATGAAATTCTCACCACACAAAAATTTATAGAGACAGAAAGTAGATTAGTGATTACCTAGGGCTGAGGGGCTTTGGAGGAAGGTGAGATTAGGATTTCTTTTGGGGGTGATGAAAAATGTCTAAACATTGAATGTGGGGATGGTTGCAGAACCCTGTAAATAAGCTAAAAGCCACTGAATTGTACACTTTAAATGGTATTGCTTGGTATGTAAATTACACTTCAATAAAGCTATTAATAATTTATAGCACAAAGGGCAAACACATTAAGATTTTTTTGAATAATGAAAGAATAGGTAAATACCCCAAGATTATCAAACACATACTTTAAGATCTATAAGTTTACCAACTACAAAGTTTACAGACATTTTATAAATATATAAAATATGAAATTTGTATTTTTGTTTGAAAATACATATAAAGTTAAGGTTTAGACTCTATATGCTCTTTTCTAAAAATAGTCTATA